TCCAAATTATAAGAGCGTCTTATAAAAAATAATTTTTAATATAAAATTAAAAATAATAAAAAGATAACAAATATTTAAAAGAAGATTTGGCACTATGTTTTTTGCCTCTCCTCAAGGTTATAAAAGTAGTAAAATAAAGGCGAAGAATGAACACAGAGTAAAACTAGTCCTAACATATTCCAGTTGTTCCAGAAATGACCTACTTTATTATAGATATATGGCTCATTGAGAGGAGATTTATTATTTATATTAATACTTTTTTTATTTAATTTGATATCATATAAAAATAAAATATTTTGTTTTTTTGTTTAAATTCCATATTTGCCATTTTACCCCAATGGCTTGGCATCTATCCCAGCGTCTTTGGCAATCAGCGAAAGGCATAATTTTTACCTTTAATAAATCCATAACCACTCTCCCCTCCCCCACTATTATAAGCAAAAGGCTTGGTTTTATTTTTATTTTGTAGTCTATTTGATGATGAGACAATCCAATGATACAGAGTACAGTTACGCTACTAATATATATTAATTATTTCTTACAATTTATCGATTTCAAGTAAATAATCATTTAATCCTTTTGACATTATTTCATTCATAAATTAATATTTATAAAATCATATAATTTCTAATGTCATTACAAATATCCAGGTAGTAGGCTGCCCGCCTCAAACTGAATAGAAAATAACGAATTTCATCATAACATTTTTTTTACCTTTCCAGATTATATTTTTTTCGATATAAACTAAATAATATTTCCTTAGTTTTAAGTTAACCTATATCTCTCCATTAGATTTCCTTATTTCACTGGAAGAGCTCCATAATGAAGAATGTTTACCTGTTTTTTAATTCTATGCGTGTAGGCAGGGTTGCCAGATGTCACGATTTAGCCGTGATTCTCACGACTTCATACCTAATTTTTTACTTACCCACATTTTCTCACACTTCACGCTTTTCTCACGTTTTTTGAGTAAATTAAAATAATTACACTTAGTTTCACACTTTTTCTCACGTTTTTAAATTTTTTCAAAATATTTTTAAAAACAAATATAAAATTTAAAAAATTGTAGTATTTGTTAATAGTCCAACTAACCAATCATATTCATTGATCAATTACCCACAACAGAAATTCAATTTTTAGAAATTTTATCAAGTATAATTATAATATGTATTTAAATAACTATACATTTCTTTTATAGATTATATAAATCTTATATTAAAACTCGTAAAATTTTAAATGAAATAAATTAAGGGCAAATATTATAAAAGATCTAAAAACCAATCATCCGTTTTCAATACTAACGGATGCATAGAATAAAGGTAATATAAAAACATTTTCCTTATTACTTAAATACTTCAACAAATAGAATGGAATAAATGTTTAATTACTTAAAAAATTTTCGTCTGACAGTGAAACCAGTGACGTAGCTACGGGGGTGGTTTTAGGTTTGGACCCCTCTCAGAGCAAAAAATTTTTTTAGATTATACGTTCAAAAGACTTAAAAGTGATTTTATATCAATATATTTTTCTGGTTTTGATGTTTGTGGAAGGATATTATATTACTATTGAAATTATTCTGGATAGTATTATAAAGTCATTGAGAATAATATACTAAATTATAATAACATATTATTGATGCATGGCCGGGCAAAAGGGCCGAAGGCCTGTTAAAGGGGGTCTGGGGGGCAAAGCCCTCCCAGCTTTTATATGTATGGACCCCCTCTAAGGAAAATTCCTAGATACGCCACTGCCCTAAAGACATATCTAGATGCTTGCTAGAAAATTTAAAATTCGCTGAACTTGATATTGCTAATGTAACGGCCTATTGTGCAGATAACGCATCTGTAAGCTTTAAAAAAAATTAAAGTATTTGGACAGAATTGAAAAGTCATAGTAATAATATTATACCAATGGGTTGTATATGCCACATTCTTCACAATTCGTTTAAAAAGGCTATAATTTTTCTTAAATATGATATTGAGAGTATAGTAATTAAATGCTATAATGAATTTAGCAACTCGACAAAAAGAGTTACATTTATAAAAGTATTGGTAGAATGGTGCAATTTAGAATGGTCAGAATCACTTCGCCATGTTCCCTGGGTTACATTAATCCCAGCGATTAAGCGGATACTTAAGTATTTTCAACCCCTTAATGAATATTTTTTTATCATTATCAGCAACCCCACCAATTTTGAAAATAATTTTGGGAGATGATTTTGCAAAGGCATATTTAGATGTTTTCCTTAACGTTGGCACTTTAGTCAATAACATAAATTTACAGTTGCAATCTGAAGATGTATTAGCAATATATATATATATACACGATCTTATTTTAAAACTAAAGAATTCATTAAATTTAAAAATTCAGCAAAATTTTTATGGGAGCATTTCTAAAAATATTCTACAACATAATAATGATGTAGAAAAGGCAATAAATTTCAAAAATTAATCAAAGATATTTATAAAAAATATTATAGAATATGTAGAAAAACGTTATGATATTATAAATAATATATGGAAATATCTTAGCCCTATGACATTAAAATAATGTCCAGAATTTGAACAATTACAAAAAATTATTAGTAATTATAAAATACAAAACATAGATACAGAAATTCTCTTTGAGGAATATTCACAATTTTACTCCTATTATGGAGAAAAATTATCAAAAAACTATCACATGAATACCCAAGAAAAATAGATGGATTTTCTTTCTAATTAAAACTCACCATTGATAGAGAAAATATGCAATTTTATATTTTATATTCCGCATTCAAATGCTTCATCAGATAGAATATTCAGTCTAATGACTACTGCTTGGCGAAAAGAACGTCATCATTGGAAGCTGAACTAATGGTTAAACAAAATTAACTATTCATGCAAAGAGTTTTCAGCCTATCTCCACAGTGCCGATGGGAAATCTTTATTGCCTCTTTTAAAATCATCCATAAAATATAATAATTAATATTATGCTATTTTTATAAACATGAGAAAATTATATATCATAATTGTTATTAGTAAATCAATAAAGAATTTTTATTGTCTTTAAAATCTTGTTGTATTAAATATAACATATTAACTTAGAGAGTATGCTACATCAATTACCCCGGCCGAAGGCCGGGCAAAAGCGGGCCGAAGGCCCGCAAATTGCGAAGTCCCCCATTAATTATTATAAGAGAAAAACTCACGTTCTCAAGTGAAGAATATCTGGCAATTCTGCGTGTAGGAGATAATATAAAAATAATTCAAAAATTTATTTTTCTAGGCATTTAATTATTATATATAATAATTTTATATATCGTAAAATATTTTTTTAGACCTGGTAAAATTATAAAAAAATTAATTTTTATTAGTAAATTTTATTTATTTTTAATTTAAATAATAATTTTTAAAATTGATAGAAATAAATTGAACTCATTATTATCACGAATTCGAGGGGAAATATACAAAATATGTATATTATATTCCCATTTTCATCATCGTACCCACGCACAAAGAAAATATTTATCAAATCATAATGATAAATGATAATCAATAACTGCATTCCTCTACAATCATAAATTATACCTAAAAAAAAATTGTTTTTTATAACCTTAGCTTACATCCTTACTCAACAGAAATATTTAATTTTATGCGTAAATTTTACTATATCATTATTTATTTTTTTCAATTAAATAAAATATGCAACATTTATTAGACCACACGAAAAGGAGTCAAGGAACGAATAAGAAAATAACTAACGTGAGAGATAGGTTTATAAACCTATTAAAGGATAATTATTTTCGCTCATTATGGAGGAATATTCTTGTAAAGGCCAACTCCAAGCAAGTTAGCGTTGCCCCATCTGAAATCAAAAAGCCTATAACTACCGATAGAATTTCAGAAATGAATAACAATCAAGAAGAATCAGAGAGTATTCAGATTCCTCCTAATTCACCTACGTTTATTAATAAAATGTCTTTCGAAATCTCGATATATTTATTAAATCCTCAAACAAAAAAGGAAATGAAATACACAATTCTTAAGCCCGGTGAATCTTATAACACTCCTTTTCCTCAAGATTTTTTTGATTGGGTAATCCGAAAATCTTTGACCAAACAAAAAATTGGAGCTGATATTTTTTTCGCGGATTGAAAAGTTATATATATGAATCTTAAATTTAATATTTAAAAATATACATAACAAAATTTAACGATAAATTATTCGCCGTTTTTCAATATTTTATTATTATTTAAAATTAATCATTATTTTACCGATTTAATAAAATAATGTAATTTCAAAAATTAACCACATAAATAAAGATAAAGAATACGCTTATGCTTCGATAAAATTAATGTGTATATTATGTTCAAAAACTTAATTTTTATCAACTTATGTACGATTTATTATATTATATATTATAAACATCATTGTAAAATAAAAAATAAAAACTTAGATTTGATTTAAGGTATCGAGATGGGAAAGAAAAAATTCTTATCAATATGTTTTGGGTTTTCTTTTTGTTACATAATTTAATATAATTATCTCATGCAAACAAAACATCTGAAATAAATATAATAATTTATTTGTTATATGCTGTTACTGTTAGAAATGCGTAATAAACATTTAATGTAGCATATATTTAATTATATTTATTGTGGTATTTAGTCAACGGCGTTAAGATTATAAGAGAGCTATGGATCGCATGGAGTGGCAAATCATTTATCTTTAGCCAATTCCAAAACTGCGTAGCCAAATTTACCTAAGAAATTCATCCCAATATTTAAGCTGGGCTCAACAAAAACTTTAGGTCATTTTATTTAGGCTAAATGCATGTTCAAGCCTTATTTGAGCTGGCCAAAGTTAGTTGATTTAGCAATACTAGTGACAATATTTTACGAAAAGCTTACATTTTAATTAAAATATGTATCTTTATTATAACTTCTTATTATAATGATGTAAAGTGTCCACTTAATAAAAAGATATAACAAGAAAATATAGAAGTTGTTATGCCACTACAATAATATCCACCTTTATGTGAGTAATATATTTTTTCCCTAATAATTTATCAAAAATAGTCATTTCATTTCATGTTTATAATTTGTATGTAATAAAAATAAGCGAAATATAAATGTATTACAAATTTTTCAATTATTTTGAAAATAAAAAAAATTAGCATGTAAAAAAAATATCACAATATGATTTGGTTTTTTTTGTTTAAATCAATATATGGAATTATTTAGCCAAATTTTCAATGACGATGGCAATTCCTTGTCCACCTCCTATACAAGCGGAACCTACAGCATATCGTAAATTCTTCAATCTTAACAGAAAAACAGTGGATGGGGGGGGGATAATGTAATTAGAAGAAAAAAAATTATTTTGAATATAGCCTAAGAGGAAGTTAAATTTCAATTTTTAATATTTATTCATTTTAAAATTAATATTTAAAATATCATATAGTCACTATGCTCATCAGATTATTGGGTTGATTTAAATTGTCAATCGTTGTAAATTATAAAAATTTGTGGAGCTCGACATCAATAAGCCAAAGGAAAAATATGTTTTTATATCAAAAATAATGATGATGCAGTAATAATATATAAAAAAAATTAAATTAAAGATTTACTGTGAATCGATTTAAAAAAAAGGCTTGATTAAGATTTTAGCCAAAATAATATTATGTAAAGTTGGAGCAGTAAGGTTTATACTTTTATTTGCTAAATTTAGAGGCTTACGTACAGGGTTTTTGTTTTAGCAGGGAAGCTCTTATTATGTGAGCATAAAATACGTAAACAACACTCATTATATTTTGTTATCATTCAATTCGATGATCTTATAATGTTTATACCCTTATTTTTATGGTTCTTTCGTAAAAATTCTCATTCAAAACCAGCATTTATATTTAAAAAAAATTTTACACTATAAACTTATAATTTTTTCATTAAAAGCGGAATATCTATAAAATTATTATAAAAATAAAATTATACCCTAAAATAATCTATTTTTTTAAAAAAAAGGTATATCTATAAACTTATTGAATAAAAAGAAACTTATGATTTTTTTATATTAAAAAGAATACTCAAAGAAAAACAGAAAAAAATACTCAAATATTCTTATTTTTTATGTACGAGGATAATTTTGCCATATATGATTTAAAGTAATATAGAATCAAATTTTTTTAATGAAGGAGGTTAAATGACATTAACTAATTTTTTTTTTCTAAAATAACCATCTTGTATCATTATGAAAACACTACAAAGAAATATGTTCATTATCATTGATATAAAAAATGTAAATAGCAAGTGCATAATTATTTGGAACTTTCTCAAATACAAAGGTAAACAATAATAATTCAACATTTGATATAATTATTGCATAATATTTTTTCCCCTTTTAAATCTATAGATATCAGTCCAAGATTGTGAAGGATATTTTTCTCATGTAAAGGAATATATTAATCCTTACTTAGCCATGACGCCCATTATTTATTAAAATAAAAATATAAAAATTTTTTCATATGATTAAATATTATTTGTGTAAGTTATAAATAAATTTTATAATATATTTTTATGCAATAACTTGATGCATAAATATTTTAATCAAATAAATTTATTTAGAATTTTTTAATCAATAAATATTAAGTTTAAATATAAAATTTTTTTTAAATATAAATGTTCGTTTTGAATAAAAATTTGTTCGAAAATACGATAAAAATAAAGGTATTGACATTATTATTTTGTTTTTATGATGTTCGAATTGAATGATAACAAGATATAAAAAATGTTGTTAGCGTATTTTGTGATCTCATAATAAGAGTTTGTGTGTGAAAACAACGGCAATGATATTCTGGCTAAAATCTTAATTGGGCCATTTTAAATCTATTAAAGCGGAAGAGCAACATATCCGTAGCGTCACTTGGGAGGGGGGGGGGCAGGGCTCAAGCCCTATGAAAAATTGAAAATTTTTCTTTATACCATTAAAAAAAGGTAAGTTAGTTTTTTTAAAAAAAGAAGGTAATTTCCATAATTTAAAAATTTATTTTGAGCCTGAGATTATAAAGGCTATAGTGACGCCCCTGCAATATATATAAAAAATAATAATTAAAAAATTATGATAGTATTCTTATTCAGATGATGGCTAGGAATCTTTAAATAAGTTAACATTCTTGTGTAGGATTTCTATGTTAATTTTTGTTTGAGGTAAAAAGGTCCTCAAAATTGTTAATTTAAGGCATTTTTTGGGGATAAGGGTCGCTTCCTTTCCCAACGAGCAGGTTATTGAAATCACAATATGGTATAAATATATTGTTTTCATAGTATTTTGGTGATTTTCTTTTCTCAGTCATTCCTAATGTATCATAATTATATGGGAGGGAAAAAAATGTCTATGCATGAAAAATCCCATAATTTTTATTAAAAATTGGACCAAATGATATAGATGATCGGCCGATATTAGCATGATATTGGAAAATCAGGGCGTCCTCCAAAAAGCGGTATAGGTACAGTACACCTGTAACTTTTTAAATTAAATTTCCTCATCTTATATTATGATAGTTAGAAATTAACATTAAGGTAGCGGATAAATATATATTCTATTAAATTTTAAGATTATAAAAATATATTATTTATATATTTAAACTAGAACCTTAATTGATGAGTTAGGTGAGCCATAATCCTCGAACCGGAAGCGGCTAATGGATGCCCTAAAGCAATAGCTCCACCATTAACATTTGTTTTTTCGGGGTTTAAGTTCAATTCCTTTTCTACTGCTAGATATTGAGAGGCAAAAGCCTCGTTAACCTTTAACGTAAACAATTATTCTAGAATGATAATAGAACGTCATTTACATATCGATTCTACAAGAGAAATTGCTAAGGATGAGCATTAATCGAAATCATCTCATATAATATAATAAACTAAATGCCATCTATAGGACTTTAGGAGAAATAATGAAATAAGGATATATATATATATAGTATTCCATATCAAATCAACTGAAGATTTAACCCAACCCTCTTCGATTTTTTTTAAAATTTGTATGATGGTAGTAGAGACACTCACTAGTAAAAATATAAAATTTCTATTCTCAATTCAGCTTACTTCATGAGATATGGTCATCTTTAGAAACGCGGAAATTCCAAAATATACTATATTTAATTTTAAATATTTCAAAAAGTAAGCTAAAGACATAATTTAAATTTTATTAGATAGCCCTTTAATATGATATAAAATTTACTTTATTGAAAATTATTCTATTACAAAACCGGAAATAGAAAATGGCTATAAAATAAATATTGCTCTTTTTTTTCTTTCAAATTTTTTTTACAGATAGACATTATAATTCTTAATATTTATACAAAATCCTAGATTGGGACGAGTACTGGCCAATAGTTATTACACTTTAAATATAAGTAGTATGGCTTAAATCCTATATTATACCAAATGTATAGTAATTTACGAAACTAATAAGAAAATTTGTTTGGGATAGGGCCGGATATATATTTTTATAAATCTTTCGGGCCGTATTAGAAAAATTAGGCCCTATGTAGATTACTAGTAGACATTGTGTCATATTTAACACATAAGTTTAGCTATTTTATTTTAGTAGTAAAAATATTTATAACTTTATTTAGCTAATTATTTATATTAAGGGAGACTGGGGTTAAGTAAACCCCGGGGCTTGGCAAACCACATTATCTTATTTTAAAATTAAATACATCATATGGTTAAAATTTTATCCTAATATAGTTTTCATTAGTATACATCTATGTACAAAATATATTTTAAAATAATTAATTACTAAAAATTTTATTAAAGAAATAAAATTTTGATGAAATTTTCAAAGGATTTTCACATGACAGAATTTTAATTTTTATTAAAATATATGATCATTAATATGTAAATTAAATTTTATTACAAAGTATAAACATTCTTCTATAATTTGGGTAAGTTTTATGAGTATTTATCAAATCTAGATATTATTTCAATCATGATTTGTCAATTTAGAGCTAACGGGGTTTGCTAAACCATACACGTCAATTATAACAATTAATAATAAAAAAAATTTCAAAATCTTGAAAAGGCAATTTCATGGCTGTTTATGATTGGTATTTATTAAAATTCATATTTTTTTATGTCCAAAATGTTTATTAAATTAGCCAAAGTTAAGTTTCAATTTTTATATATAATTAGCTTCTATTTATAAGTATTAAGATATTTTGAACAGTAAAATTATTCTATACATATCATTATTAAAAAATAAAAATGCATTTCAATTTATTATTGCCTAAAAAAACCAATGGTTTAGGAAGCCCCTTGAAGTGGTTTGCCTCACCCCGCTATTGGGGGCTTGTTGAACAAAATTTTCACTTTTACAAAAAAGAAAATTAAAAAAAAATAATTATATTCTTAAGATTTTTTATAAGGCACTTTATAGAGTATAGTTTTAGGTATCCATACATATTTTTTATATTATCTATAAAACAACAAGAGCTATAGCCAATTTTGTAAAAATTGGTTCGACTAACCCCAGTCTCCCCTACATGAATATCAATGGGAAATTAATATTGTAATAAACATATTTTAAGTAATACATAAAATAATCTAACGAATTAGAATAAAATTTGACTTTCATTTTTCCTTCCATTGGAATAAATAAATGATTTTTTTGTGTCCCGGGAATTCGTTTGGCCGTTAAAAATCTATTTTCGAGATTGGTTTCCATTCTTAAATATTAAACGTGCTGACAAATATGTAATTAATCCGCGGGATATCCCGCATAATTATAAAAATTAAAGAAGTTAGTATATGATTTTCACAAGGACGTTGCATTGCTCTAGCCGCAAACCTCTTAGTAATTCCCCCTAAACTATTGCAAGGAGTTTTGCCATGTGCAGTTGCAAAAAAAATGCTATTCTACCTTGATCCCAAAATCATCATGATGGCTGTAGAGGTTCACAAAGTTTTTTTTGTTTTTATACTGGGTAACAGCTCCATCAGAAAAATAAAAATTATTTTTCAAGTATAGAATTAATTTTATTTGAAATAAATGAAAGGAACAAGTATTGTGTTTTAGACAATCTGATATAACCATGTAACTTACATGTTTGATGATATCGCTTTCGCGGTAATAAATCATAAATGGATAAAGTGTTGCCTGATTATTTGTCCAATGGAAACCTCTATCGTGATCTTGAACTACAACAGCTTAGTTCTCTGCAAAATCGGATATTATTAGATATTCCCCATCCTTCAAATTCGATCTTAATGAATGCTAGAGGAATTAAAATATTTTATTTTTCAATCAAATACCCCAGAAATTCGCCGGCGAACTTAACGTTTCGAGGGTAATACGGTCTGCCGCCAACCATTGTTTAAATTTTATATAATCTATATATTTTAATTCCTCATGCATTTATTTCTTCGGAACAATTTTCATTTTTATTAAAATCGAATTTGAAGGATGGGTAATATCTAATAATATCCGATTTTGCAGAGAACTACGCTTTTGTAGTTCAAGATCACGCTCGAGGTTTCCATTGTACAAATAATCAGGCAACACTTTATCAATTTATGATTTCTTACCGCGAAAGCGATATCATCAAATATGTAAGTTACGTGGTTATATCAGACAATACTTGTTCCTTTTATTTATTTCTAATAAAATTAATTCTATTCTTGAAAGAAATATTTGATAAGATTTCAATAATTTTTATTTTTCTGATGAAGCTGTTACCCAGTTTAAAAAAAAAACTTTGTGAACCTATACGGCCATTATGATGATTTTGGGATTAAGGTAGAATAGCATTTTTTTGCAACTGCACATGGCAAAACTCCTTGCGATAGTTTAGGGGGAATTACTAAGAGGTTGGCGACTAGAGCAATGCAACGTCCTTGTGAAAATCATATACTAACTCCTTTGATTTATATAATAATGCGGGATATCCCGCGGATTAATTACATATTCAGCACGTTTAATATTTAAGAATGGAAGCCAATCTCGAAAATAGATTTTTAACGGCCAAACGAATTCCCGGGACACAAAAATATCATTTATTTATTCCAATGGAAGGAAAAATGAAAGTCAAATTTTATTCTAATTCATTAGATTATTTTATGTATTACTTAAAATATGTTTATTACAATATTAATTTCCCATTGATATCCATGTAATATAAATTATTAGCTAAATAAAGTTATAAATATTTTTACATCTAAAATAAAATAGCTAAACTTATGTGTTAAATATGGCACAATGTCTACTAGTGATCTGGGCCTAATTTTTCTAACACGGCCAAAAAATAAAAAAATACATGGCCCGATCCTAAAAATATTTTCTTTATATGTTTCGTAAATTACTATATATTTAGTATAATATAGGATTTAAACCATACTAATTATATTTAAAGTGTAATAACTATTGGCCCAGTATTCGTCCCAATCTAGGATTTTGTACAAATATTAAGAAGATCTTCAAAAAAAATTTGAAAGAAAAAAAAGAGCAATTTTTATTTTACACCCATTTCTGGTTTTTTGTAATAGACTTATTTTCAATAAATATATTAAAGGGCTATTCTAGAGTTATCTAATAAAATTTAAATTATGTCTTTAGCTTAATTACTTTTTGAGATATTTAAAATTAAATATAGTGTATTTTGGAATTTCCGCGTTTCTAAAGATGATCATATCTCATGAAATAAGCTGAGTTTAGAATTAAAATTTTATATTTTTACTAGTTAGTGTATATACTACCATCATACAAATTTTAAAAAAAATCGAAAGGAGTCGGGTTGAGAATCGACTTTTTTTGGTTGATTTAATATGGAAACAACATATATATACCATTTTTTTAGAAAAGCTTTATGGATTGAATGAGTTAATATAATTCGATATTCATTATTTTTCAAGTGAGAGAAAGGGATAGAGAGAATATTTACACATAAAAAATATAGATATTAATTTTAGCACCCAATTAAAGTGACAATATTATATATTATATAAGGATAAGCAGAGCCGTCTAATAAGGGAAGGGAGTAAGATACAATTGCATAATTAAAATTTGAGGGAGGTATCCTCGTAGTTAAATATACAGTTAGTATCCATAATTGGATTATTTGGATGTTTACAACGGGGGGGGGGAGTCGGCGTTATTATCTTAAAAGGAGAGGTGGTCTAGAGGTAGTCGAGCCCGAATTCAGGTTCAATAATTTAAGATGATTTGGTTGGACATTTTGAGAGCTCAGGCCAAACAGATATAGATTTATAAACAATCCATCGCGCTATTTTTTCAGACCGGGGTGTGTCCTACCCCTTTCAGCAAATAGTTCTGATTAAGTTTGGCCTATTAAAATTTTCTCTAAATGGAGTTAAAATTCCTGAATCAGAATTAGAAGCCCACTCTAGAAGGTTCTGAGGGGAAGTTAGGAATTCGGACACATAATAACTTTTTGAGGTAGGACATTTTCCATATAAGTTTGCTATTTTCCTGGATATTAATATAATAAACGTACAAACATAAATAAAAAATTGTGTTAACTTCAATCAAATCCATGTCTTTTACGCTTAAATTTGCTTTTTTCAAAGCTCCTTTGATAGCATAAACCGGACCAATCCCCATTATAGTAGGATCACAACCTAATTTTAAAAAAATTCCTACAATTGATATAATTTTAAAAAAGAGTAATCTTATTTATGATATTTATTAAATATTGTAATAATCGACACTTTTCAAAGAAAGAAATAATTTTGAAAAGTGGCAACAAGATGTAATTTTATAGCTAGTATAATATTTATTGGACGTGAGGTGTTATTGATTAGGAGGTCTAGATCATGGATTTTTTCTTTTTTGTAATTTGGTTTCATTTGTCATACTATGTTTTAATTATGCCCTTGCATTTTAAATGAATATATTTTTGATAATTTTGAGTATTCGCGTCATTATCATATATTCGGGAATCATCGCATTTCTATCCCTACCAGATATGTTCACACAGCATGAAGCAGTATAATTTTTAGCTGGCGAGGATTGTTAATTGATATTGACGTTGGAATTGTTAGGAATAGAACAGTTGTGATCAATAATATAGACAATGGCGTACCAGACACCTGCGCAGATTTAGAGTCGTTGTAGTTGATTACTTTTTGTAAATACGGAGACCTCAAAATAATGCACATTTTCAGATTTCTTTAATTGACACTTTTATTAGAATTACGACATATTTATAAATAAAAACAAGGGATTCACAGAGCTTATTAAATGATATAAATATGTAAAAATACATAAGTTAGGATATTGATTTTTATCATTTTTGAAATGATAATCCTCGATTATATTAATTAATGATGAGTTATTTGATTGACCTATAACAAACTACCATACACAAGTTCTTCGATAAAGATCATAAATATCAGACGCGCACTGCATGGCCCACCGCATCAGTTAGTATTGGTGTAGGCTAAAAAATGATATCGATGCATCTTAGAGTACATCCGAATACATAAAATAAATAAGATTAAAATATTTTAACCTTACCAGTCCCCTGAGGTTAATTAATATAACCCTGTAGTCTGCCAATTGAACGCCAAGAGAACTTGAGTATAAAAAATTTATTTATAAGAAAATTCTCTTTATAAATTATATAAATAGTAAGAGTTAGATTTCTTCTATTAATTTTACGGGAAATCTTTTATTGCATCTTTCTCATAATTTTGACTCATGCCAGTTATTTAAGATATTTAAAATTTCATTCGATCTAACTAGTGCAGGTATCCATCCTACAAAAGATTAGATAGTTAATAATAATAAAGTGTAATACTCGGCCCAACGATGTAAAATTTATCAAGTTAAAAATATTTTATCCGGAGATGGGATATATTGGAAAAAATAGCAAAACTAGAAGTAGGAGGTAAACGTATGAGATGGCGCCCAAATAAGAATTGGAGTGATGTGATTGTTGAAGACTCAGAGCTTAAACCTAATGGAGTACATAATGCATGACAGAAAACCGGGAAGAACTGAAGTTAATTAAAGGTATCAAGGGATTTTTAACTATTCATATTAAATTATATGGATAGGATTTATCATTAGAAGAAGTCCCTGTCTTAATATATTGTGGGGCTTCGAATGCTGACTTTGGTGCCATAATTGTTCAGTTTTCTTACTGGGGAGGAGAACCCAATTGTACACCTATCAAGAACACTTTAAGCGGCTGAAAAATCAAGCAACGATTAATAGGGAAGACTCTTCAATAATGTTTTCAATAGAAAAATTTATCGATTATACTGTAGACGTTTTAACTACAATGCACTTAGTGTTGTTAAACGGCTCGATCGTCGATTTTTAAAAACGGCTATCTCAATATTTTAACAAGAAAAATATTATCTAAGCCACGAGATTTTGCTAATAAAATGTCCAAACCTTTGCCCCCCCCCCCATTTATGAGCAAAATCTTCAGGCTTGTGTAATATTTTTCTGGATATAATAGTAAGTTGTTTAAAAAATATTCCAAAATCAAGACTTTTATAACAACACTAAAAATCATTTGGTATGGTGGGTTACTAAGATAATTAAATTATTTATGGACCAGAAATATATTGACCCTTTATCTGGGGCTGAGAAATTAAATAATTATTTTTAATAGAAAAGGAAATTAACAATGAAATAAAAATTTTGGTATTATTTAAATTTCGGCCTTGATCTCAACATGATCATCTTAGTTATTTCATAGATATATTTAATGAATGGTTTAGTCGAATTCTATATTAAGTCTCAAGTCCATACCTAATATATTTTATAATTTAGTAGTGATCTAATTGTAATTTTTATATTTACCATTTAATTTGTATTGAAAGGGACATTTAGTTGATGTAAAATTAATAGAAATGGTAAATTAATATAATATATAGTAGCGCAAATGTTTGGTAACTCCAGATGTATCTGTGTTAAAACTGAGATTATCGGCTTTAAAATTTCACATCTTTATTCTTGCTAATCTAATTGAATAAACTGAAAATTTGAAATCTGCATTCAAAATTAATTCTTTCGCTCGTTTTTCGGCACAAATATAATCAAAGTAACCAAATAACTTATCATCATTATTCTACGTGACCTTTTTTTAAAAAATTTCATATTTTTCTTCAAGACGAATAATATATTTTTATTAGTAAATTAATTTTAAAAAAATATAAAATAAGTAAAATTTAATTATTAGATTTAAGATGCACATATTTTGGTTAGCTATCATTTACTTACCTTTGACATGGTGATGTTAAACGGCTCGATTTTTTAAAAAGGGTTAACCCAAGATTTTAGCCAAAAACATTATGCACGCCTGGAAATTTTGCTCATAGATGCCTGAAAGGTTTGGACATCCATTTACATAATATTATTTTGTCTAAAATCTCAATTTAAAATTGGCCAAATCAAGCCGTTTAAAAATACTACTTTGAAGTAAAATACATAAATATAAAAATATTTGAATTCATGTAAAATAAACAAAATAAAATGTAGGTGTAACTTTGTCAATACCTAATATTTTTATTCATGTATTGGTTTAAACAGATAAAACTTAACAATTATCCATTTCAACGGCTAAATCAATCTTTTCAAAAATGTTAAATGGGACACTCCAATAATCGAACGACCATATGAAGATCCCTTTGTAATATGAAAGATAGATGATGACTTGATTCTGAAATGGGAAAATTATATTTTGATTTAAAGTTAGAATAAAATAATTTAAATTTAAATCTTTAAATACATTTTTTGAAGTTATAAATGAATTATAAAAACTATTAAATATCTATCTAAATTTATATTGCTTTAATCGAAAATAATAAATCATTTAAGTTATATCTCAATAATATATAAAGCTTTTTCCATTTTCAAAGGGGTGATTCTAGGATAAATTTTGTTATCACAACACCTAGACCTATTTTTTTATATATCTATAAATGCAAATGGTAATTCCCATACTGGAGTGTTTATTGGTAAAATTGTAAAATTATTTGGATTTAAAAAGTCTGTACCAAAGGTGGAAAAAGTGGTAATCTATTTTTGAAATCATCGTCTACCAAAGAATTAGAGGATAAACAGAAGTGACGTGGCAAGATATTTTTTCTAAAAAAGTAAAGCATAAATGATGGGGAACTGTCTATTTGATGTTTAAATCCCAGATGAAATCAAAGGATGCGTTCAATCGAGTTGATGGTACAAGAAAATGAACTCAGAGCTATAATACTTGATACCGGAGAATTGTCTTTTTGGGATAAAGTCAAATTTTTATTTTTTGAACCCTTAGGGAAAGAATAACATTTGTTTTGAAAAAGAACAAGATACTTTCAGGCATATCTCTGTCTTGAAAATCTAAGGGAACATTTTATTAATTCAAGCATAAGTGAAACAGTAAAACTATTATTTAAAAAAAAGGTTTTCTTTTATGGCTAGCAATACTATGTTCTTGGAATATTTTCTAGATATAAAAGAAATTGGAAGCAGACATTCAAAAGTAGCTAAGACCTTCTATTAAAGATAAAATTAGAACAGAGGAATTTTCCATGTTTGGGCTAAAATATTACAATATAGAGCAAAAACTGAAGCTTATGGAAGGACACGCGACTCGTTGATGATGTCATTTGGTGCCCTACTTTCAAAATTAGGATGGGAAAATTTTCAAAAATATGTATTCGAATATAAATAGGTTTTAAAAAAAACTTTTTTAAATATAAATACTTATAAACTGTTTTCAAAAATTATTTTTCTTTCTTACTTTATTTTTCCTTTCTTTCTCTTGACGAAAACCTTTTGAGCAAATAAATACTTTGATGAATACTTTTTGCAAGCAATTTTTTTAGTATCACAGTATCAATTTTATATTTACTTAAATAATATTTTTATTATCAATCATTTTCTACGTAAAAATTATAAAGAGTAGTGGGCAAAATCACTCCATTTAAGATTATGGGTTTATTTTATGTTGTGCAGAGATTAAATTTAGCTTTCACTTTATTGATTTTTGATTAAAAAATTCCTTCCAAAATTGTCAAATTCAGAGTTGTTAAAGTATTTAGATATAAAAATTTTCTGTATATAAATATATACAAAAAAAATCAGTATCTATATCTAGATACTCTTTTAGTATTTGTATTTGTTTTTAGATATTTTTTTAGATACAATTTGATATACTTTTATTTAACGATTTTTTATATTATAAATAAAAATATTTGAACGCTAAATTCATTATATTTCACATGAGCATATAATTTAAATAAATATACATTAAAATATATAATAAAAAAATATATGTTAAAACTTATATAGAAAATAAATATTAAAACCTATTTATAAATTATTAAAACTTATATAAAATTAAAACTTATGTATAAAAATATTAAAATTTATGTATAAAATATTAAAACTTAAATAGAGAAAAAATATATAATTAATTAAAAAAAATTTTCACATTTAAATCTATAGATTCCAGTTCAAGATTGTGAAGGATATTTTTATCATGTAGGTTAAAAAACGTACTGCAAACGCTCAATTTTTTCGAACTATAAAGAAATATATAAATCCTTGCTGAGGCTCATTTATTATTAAAAACAATACCATAGATGCACAAAATTATTAACTAATAAATTTATTTAGAATTTTTAAAAATATTTTATAGATACTCCCCTGACTTTTAATCAATAAATTATAAGTTCAATGTAAAAAATTTTTTTTATATAAATGCTCGTTTTAAAGAAGAATTTGTTAGAAAGAACGATAAAAATGGAGGGATTGACATTTTTTAATATTATTTTGTTTACATATTTTTTGCTCTCATAATAAGAGTTTTTGTTCGAGAACAACGGCGAACCCTAATAAAAATTGACATTTGTAAAATTGTATCGGTAGATACGTTTTTAAATGATGTATCTGTATCTAAATCCATTTAAAAAGTAACTAAACTCTGGTCAAATTACATTTAGAGGAAGTTGACGTTGTCACACAATCCTTGCAAAAATATCTTATAAATATAATAGCTTAATATAGAAGTTCCTTTCCTTCAATTACTATAACCTCTTCAGCTTAAAAGAAACCCTTGTATTATCGTGCTTGATATATATTTTAAAAATAAAATAGGATTTAAAATGGAAGATGTTATAATTTAGTCACAAATCTAATATTTAAATAATTAAATGTGGATTTACATATTGCAAAAAATATATTTATATTCGTCTAAAAGTGAAATCGTAATAAATAAAAAATACTTTTTTATTTTTTAGTATTTAAAATAAAAACTTTCTAAAATATTTAAATTAATACTGAATAAAAATATAAAAAAACCATTTGTATTTATTATCTTTAAATGCAAATATCCGCGATACTGCCCAACACTGGACTCATCAAAATACATTTTTAGTGCATTTTGTCCTCTGATTACCGCATCGATTATATGTTTAAAACTTTTTAATAAAAATTTAATGCATAAATTTAATTTACCTGACACGTGAAAAGATACAATCCTAGCTAAAGGTTTATAATTTTTTCTTTTACAAGTTTCTCCGTCAGTCACAATGACAACGCCGCCCCCATCGCATATTCCCTACAATATTATTTATAAGGAAACGATATAAGAACACAGTCACAGTATCCGCAATCCGGCTTGAAAGGCGGACAACTCATGCAAAATATTTTTAGGTCGGATATACATGATTTTTTTTTTATCTATTTTTTAAATTTATGATTTTTCCTTCATAAAAAAAATGTGCGTGAAGGCCTAAATAAATTTTGGGCCACCGGGTATCTTTATATAAAATAATTTCGGATTGGGCCATAAATATTAACGGGGAACATTTCTAAAAATTTTATAAGGTCGAGGTGATTTCTATGTACCGCGCGTTAGGCGATTTGATTTAGTGCCAAATATTTTTATCTCTCGAATTTAAAAAATTCCGCTTTTAACGTTCTTAAATTTTTGGTCTCCTTGGGGAAAGGTTAAAAACGGGCTATCTTCTTTATCGCTTATTGGCGATTTTTCAGGTTTACACAGGTAAGCCAATTTCTCCTCTGGCCCGGGTAAACCTGAAAAACTGCCAATATGAAATATAATATCTGTACCGAAGCGTTTCCGGCGGAAACATTTCCACCTTTTTTAAAAATGGCCGGCAATTTTTGCAAATTTTCAAGGGTGGTATCAATTTTTGGGTGTTCGTCTATACCAAAAAACGGATCCTTGAGTGGTTTGCCTTTCGATGATTTTGAATCACTCCCTCCCACCCCTGAGGGTAGATTATTGAAATCTATCACCGCCATCTCGTCCTGAAACACATTTTGCTCTTGAGCTGCACAAATTATTTTTGTTTTTTTTAAATGAAAGATAAAATAATATTAAGAGCAACACTATTTATAATCTTAATGTCTCTATTATAATGCGTTATGTTCAAATGTTGCGATATTTAACCAGCGTTATCAACAAAATAAGTATAATTTATTATGGAGCGTTATGATGATAACGCCATGATAAAATTTAAAAACATCATTAGAGACGTATTTTTCAAAAATTATTAACGCTATAAAGAATCAGCTTGATTTCGATAGCGTTAAATAACGCAATGCTTGAATATAACGCGTTTACTATAAATAAGGCCTAAATGGTACAAAATTGCGGGTTTAATATATTTCCGATTTTTTATTATCAATTCATAAATTCAATTTCTTTCAACTAATTTCATTTTTACCAGAACTGTAACCATTTTTAATCCAGGTGTCAGACTCTAAAACAGCTTGGCGCTACTGTGTTCAAGGTAGGAATGCGAAAAGTAAATCAAGGCGGTAGGAACACCTTTCATTTCACCCTCCCCCGATGACTTCAGTAGTCAAAATTCAAGTTTAGAGAATTTTAATAACAGTAGGATAGATGACTCTCCCAAAATCCTACCTTGAGCCTCATCGTGGCGGGGGAGTGGCAACGTCTTTTGGCGGCTAATAGAGGTCTAAAAGGTTCCCTGTGATCTGGGTCTAGAATAGGATCACCGTCTCCTCGTCGGGGTGTAAAAACCACTTCAAGAGGTTGATGTCAGGAAGGGCATCCGATTGTAAAAACCTTGCTATAAAATCTCCCTATGGTTACAACAAAGCATGGGCGGGTATACAGCCCAAAGTACCCCGTGGGCCTCCTCATCCGCCTACGACAAAAAGAAGGATGGGAAACCTGGTGGAACCACGATTCATGAAAATGAAACTTATGACGGCCATAAACGACCTGATAATAAGTGGAGAAACCAGTTTACGGGGGATCGAGTTAGGGTCGCGACATGAAATGTTGGAAGTATGACGAGAAGAGTGGGAGAAGTGGTCGATGTATTGCATAGAAGGGTGTGCTGCATACAGAAGGCTAGATGGAAAGGAAATGGGACAAGAATGATTGGCAAGACTAGTGAAAAGTATAAATTCTTTTGGCAAGGAAGTAATGGGTAAGGCTAGAGTTGGGGTATTGGTTGCGGAGAAATTGGTAGACAAAGTAGTCGAAGTGAGAAGGCTAGATAACCAGATAATGGTTATCAAGATGATTTTTGGTAGAAAGCTATATAATATTATCTCAGCATATGTTCCTCAGGTTGAAAGAAGTGAAGAAGAGAAAGATATATTTTGGGACAGTCTATTGGGTGACATCGAGACTGGCAAATGAAGAGGGGATTATCATGACTAGCAATCTGAATGGACATGTGGGAGCGAGTAGTGAGGGTTATGAAGGAGTACATGGAGGGTTCAGTTATGGCATGAGAAATTTGAAAGGAGAGAGGATTTTAGATTTTAGTGATGTTATGGATATGATTGTTAATACAATGTTTAAGAAAGAATCCGAGAAGCTGGTGACTTATAAGTGGGGTAGTACCAAAAGTGCAATGGATTATTTGTTATAAAGGAGATGTGACCGATGTATAGTAAAAAATGTGAAAGTGATACCGAGAGAGGAATGTATAAATCATCATAGACTAGTTAGAAAAGAAAGTTTGTGCCAAGGCTGAAGGTTTGGAAATTGAAGGAGTGCTAGACATCAATTCAATATGACATTGGCGATTAGGGAGGTGGAGGTGGCACAAGCATCTGGGGTAAATGACAAGTGGGAAGCCATGAAGAAAGCTTGGGTGATGACAACTGAGGAGGTATGTGGATGGACAAAAGGGAGGTCTAGACATAAGGAGACTTGGTGGTGGAACCAGGGTTGCCATGTCTCCCCCTATCAGCTGGAGGCTCCCGCGATTTTTTAGTTTACACGCAGACATCTCTCTCCTGCAAAACTACATCAATTGGAAATCTCCCGCAAAAATCTCCCGCAATTTTTTTAGTATTAAACATTTTCAATATATAAATAATAATTTTGAGAGACATTAATTGATTATTTTTATATTTTTAAAATAAATTTTAAATATTTATTCGAAAAACATATCTAGTTTGTAAATTTCTTTTCCTGTTTTATTTTTATCCAATAATAAATCAACATCATTTCATTCATATAAGTCAGTACAAGGGAGTAGTGTTGTTAAACGGCTAAGCCGAGTCGACTTAGATAAGACTCGAGCCTAGTTTTAGTCGATAAAACGACTTTGACTCGAGTCAACTAAATGAGCCGCATTGGTCGGCTCACTTAGTCGGCTCGTGTATTCGACTCGTTGGGGCTGCTCAATTTTTTTGTTTTTTTATAAAATCTGGTAAATTGCTAAATTTTGGGAAAATAATGCGAACAAAATTATCGGCCAAATCAAATTATTTTCAAAATATATTTTAGGATAATGCTTAGCACGTAAATATACACGTATAAAACAAAAATGAAGAGATTTTGATAAATAACGCCAGCAATATTTACTTTAGAAAATTTCCATTGTTTTACTATTCTAAACCTACTCATAAATTAAACATCAAAGAAACCTAAAAAAATTTTTTAATTTTTAGGTTTTTCATATGTATATATATACACAAATATAAAAAAGCTATCCAATCATCATTCCGGTTTGCTAAAATGATACATATTAAAACATATAACGCCCTCTTACGGATATATATTTGTTAATTTTTAAAATTGAATAAAATGTATATTTGTTTTAATAAGCTAGAAAAATAAATTTCTTACTAATAATATTAAATAAAAATAAAATTATAATACTATATCATTTAATCAGTATTCTTCATTTATAATAAAAAAATGATTTAAATATATTTTAAAAAAGTTTAAAAAATTATCATTAAAAAAATATACGTAATAAATTTTTGATTGATTTTTAATTGATTATGATTGATTGCCTTTTAGCAATGCAATTTAGCAATTCAATATATAGTGGGGAAATTTTTTCCGGGGAATTATTTTCCAGGGGAATTTTATTCCGGCGATTTTTTTTCCGGAGAATTATTTACCTGGGAACTATTTTCTGGGGAATTATTTTCCGGGGAATTATTTTCCGGGTATTTCATTTCCTAGGAATTATTTTCCTGGGGATTTTTTTCCGGGGATTTTTTTCCGGGGAATTATTTTCCGCTTACCGAATCTGCTTATTATTTTATTTAATCAACTAGCAATCCTGCTGCTCTTATTTATATTTAATTGAGGTTTTAACAATAGAATTAATGCCCAATATGCTAATTGGCTCAGCATCTGATTAGTGAATTTTTTTATTCCATCTCTCATAATTTTAGAGGAATATAAATAAATATTTCTTTAAATTTTATTATTAATCTTTTAAAAATTGAAAATGAGCCTATTCTTATTTGAAACTATAAATTTTTCAAACCACGCCAGGCAGGAATTATTTTAAAAAAAAATTATTTATTTTATATAGACCCATACTGAGTTTAGATGTAGTTCAATGTTGGAAATGGATAGGGAAAATTTTATAAATATTTCTGATAATTCTAATATTAAAAATTATTTTCTCCATACTCCCCAAAAAACGCATAAGAAATGTTCCTTATGCCAAAAGATGTATAGAGTTAGTACAGCGCCAAGTATATTTTTTTTAAATTTTTCTACCATACCTAGCTCTTTCGAAAAGAAATCTATCCCTTCCTTCACAATAATGTTTATAACATGTGCAAGGCATCTATGACTATTAATGCCCTTTTTATATTTTGATTGAAAATTTATATTTATTAATCTAGGGCGACTATTATATTGGAACCATTGTCATGTGTGATGGCTAAAAAAAAATTTCTATTTTAAAGTTTTCAATTGATTCTATAATTAGCTCACAAATATCTTTACCTTTGTGAGGGTAGGGAAACTCTAGAATATCTAGCAAAAAACTTTTTAATATCCAGAATTCATCAATGTACGGTAATCGCACAATATGATATAGAATCACAGATATATATCTGTGGTAGAAACTAATCCCGTGACATTACTTAAAATTTTAATTATGCCATCTTTGGCACTTAAGAATATATTCGATAAATACCTTTTTGCAGTTTGGCGACAAACTATCTTTATATTTTTATTTGCATATTTGAAAATATCTTTAAAGGTTTCGCTCTCCAAAATATTGAAAGATATATTATTCCTTATAAGGCATCTTAATACTAATTTATTCATATAAAGATTTTCGGTATCAGATAGTTTTCTGGCTCCGAACAATGAATCAGGAATTGCAATAAAATTGGTGGATAAAGCTTCAGGAAGCATAGACTTCATATGCCTTCGTAAATTTGCTAAAAATATTTTATAAGTAATTAAAGATAAATATAAAATCTGAATGGGGAGAAAAAAATGAAATTTTCCAAATATTAAAGATAAAGATGGTAGATAAATCTATTCTGATTTAATTAGACCTGTACCCCGCCGTTAATTTTATTTACGCCGGGACAGCCGTCGATTTTATTCAAGCTCTAATTTTATGTTTTTTAAATATCTATTTAATTTATAAAATAAATTTGAAATCTAATGGGGCGAAAACAAGAATTGGAACCAGGGTTGCCAGATATTCTTCACTTGAGAACGTGAGTTTTTCTCTTATAATAATTAATGGGGGTCGCAATTTGCGGGCCTTCGGCCCGCTTTTGCCCGGCCTTCGGCCGGGGTAATTGATGTAGCATACTCTCTAAGTTAATATGTTATATTTAATACAACAAGATTTTAAAGACAATAAAAATTCTTTATTGATTTACTAATAACAATTATGATATATAATTTTCTCATGTTTATAAAAATAGCATAATATTAATTATTATATTTTATGGATGATTTTAAAAGAGGCAATAAAGATTTCCCATCGGCACTGTGGAGATAGGCTGAAAACTCTTTGCATGAATAGTTAATTTTGTTTAACCATTAGTTCAGCTTCCAATGATGACG